ACTTATTCTTAAAATTAATTTTATTGTTGCATTCTAGCTACACATACTGCTAATACTCATCATATGGAATTTGTTCTTGTGTATAATAGAGCTTGATTCTTTTTCCTCTGCTCCTCTCTTTCCTTGAACTGCTCTTCTTATTTACAAAGGCTTTCTTTCTTTTATTTATTTATTTTTGTATTTCAGGAAAGAGTGTATAGGGTGTTCACTACTAGAGCAGACTCACAGTAACACGCCTGTTTACAGCCTTCCAAGAGCTGGGATTACAGGTATATGCCACCATGCCCAGTCTCAATTTCCATCTCTGCATGCCCTGGGGGCAGGGCTGGTATGCCAGGCCTGGGGATCATATTCCAGGCCCTTGCAGGCACTTTAATCTGCTGAGCTATTTGGCTGGCCCTTACAGAAGCTTTCTTGCAACTTTTTTCATTCTTCCTTTTTCTTTTCCTAACACATCTCTAATTCCCCTTCTTATTTGTACAATTTCTTTCTACTTCACCATATGTTGTATACATTTTTGTCCATATTTACACTTTTAATTTTGCACACCAGAGAAACCATGCAATACTTTAACATCTATGTTCACATAGTTCCACTTAAGAGTATGGTCTCAAGAGTAGGGTGCATCCATTTACCTAGAAAGGTCAACTTTACTCTTCCTTAAGAGTGAGTAGTACTACATTGTATTGAAAAAACACATCTTTAGTATTCATTCATCAGATGATGGGCATTTCTTTGTTTCCAAGTCTTTCCTGTCACAAATTAGGCTGCCATAAACTTGGGTGTGCATTCATAGATGGAGTAGGATGCTTTCGATTCTTTTGGAAAGATATCCCAAAGGGGAATACCTGGATAAATGGAATCTCTAGTCCTAGTCTTTTGAGGGATCTCCATACTGATTTGCACAGTAGCTGCACAAGTCTGCACTTCAACCAACAGTGGAAAATGGTTCCTTTTTCCTCCAGCCCCTCTGAGACTTGTTACTGACTGATATCTTGATAATAGCTGTTCTTCCTGGAGTGAGATTTAATTTGATTTATTAAAGGATCAGTGGCTGATGTTGAACATTTCTTTCACATATTTTCCATTTCTACCCCTTCATCTAAGAACTATGTATTCATTTCAGAAGTCCTTTTTTGGATCGCTTTTTAAATTTCCAAAATATTATATTATTGTATTCTTTATAAATTCTAGATATTAATCCTTTATCTGAGGAAGAGCTGGTTGAAACTTTTGACCTCTCTGGATTTTTGTTTCCTTTGTTGGTGGTATCTTTTATTGTGCAAAACTGTTCAAAATGATGAGGCACCTGTTTTAGATTTTTGGTGATATTTTCTGTGTGGTTAGGGCTTAGTTCATGAACTGCGCCTTATACATGTGTCTTTAAGGATTCTACCTACTTTAACAGCAGATTGTTCTTCTTAACAGTTAGATCTTTGATCAGGTGATTTTAATTTAGTTCATGGTGAGAGATATGGGTCTGGTTTTAGTCTTTGGGATTTGGTAAGCCAGCTTTTCCGTCACTATTTATTAAAGAGCTTTTCTATCTCTCCATGATGGCGATTGAGACTTTTGTAAAAGATAAGGTGGCTGCCTATTTACAATTGTTCCTGTATCTTCTAATCTGTTCTATTATACCTTGGGTCTGCTTTTTTTCTCAGTACTGTGCTGTTTTTGTCTCTGTAGCTCTCTAATAAAACTGCAAGTCAAGGATTGTGATACCAATTGCCTTGCCTTTGTTGCACAGGATTTCTTTCACTATTATAGGCCTCTTCTATTTTCAAAGCAGTTTTAGAAAGATCTTTAACTACACAAGGTATGCTTCTGATATTAATATCAGAATTTCATTAAATCTGTACAACAAATTTGGAAGTATGTACATTTTCACTATTTAGTTGTACCATCTCAGGAAGAAGGGATATCATTTTATTTTCTGTTATCCTCTTTCCAAGTACTGTAGTTCTCAGTGTAAAGGCTTTTACTTCTTTAAGATAATTTCTAAGTATTCCAGTTTTTGGATGCTATAGTGTCAGGCAAATGAATGTGATTACCACTACTCTACAGAGAGAACTTTGGATACTATTATGAAGGGTTTTGTTTCTCTAATTTCTCTTTCAGTGATTTTGTTATTTGTGTGTAAGAATGCCATGAATTTTGTATCACACTGTGCTTAAGAATTCAGGCATTAATTCTAGGAGTCTTTTGCTGAACATTTTGGTGTCTTCTATGTACAATATCGGTCATGAACAAGTAATTATGATTTAACTTCTTCTTTTGATTTTCTTATTACTTTTATAACTTTCTGTTGTCTAATTCCTCTGCCTAATGTTTCCAACAGTATATTAAACAGATGTGTGATAGTGGACGTCCTTCTCTTGATCTTGATTTTAGAAAGAAAGCTTCCAGTTTTAGATCAATTTGTATGATGTGTGCTTTGTGATTCTCTCAGAAAGTTTTTTTTTTATTGGACTGTGATAAAGACTATTTATCCCAGTGTTGTGCAGGCTCTTCATCTTGAATGGGTATTGGACTTTGGGCTGTATGATCTGACAATACACATGGAATAATTTCAATTTCTTTGCACTTACTTAAGCATGCTCTATGAGCTAGTAGGTGATCTCTTTCAGAGAATATCCAATGCACAGTTGAGAAGATTATGTGTTTTGATGTCATGCCATTCAACACTTTGTAAACATCTAAGCCAATTTTTCACAGGTTCTGGTCATTGCTGATATTGCTTTATTGATTTATTTTCTAGTTGATCTATTTTTTAACACTGAGTTTTGAGGTCTCCCATTGCAGTATGATTTTTTATGTCTATTAATATTATTTAATACAGTTTGCTTATTTGATGAATGCATATTTATGATTGTTATCTCTTCCTTGCAGTTTCCCCTTAAGTATGTAGTGACTTTCTTTGTCTATGGTGTTTAATGTTGGCTTAAAGTCAGTATGTCTGCAAATAACTACCCCTGCTTTCTTTGGGATAATGTTGCATGAGATATTGTGATTTGCCTTTCATTCTATGGTTCACTTTTTAAAAAATTCAATGTGTTCCTTGTATGCAGCATATTGTTAGATCTTTTCTTTGAACCATGCTGGCAGTCTGGTTATTTTGAAGGTGACTAGAAACCATTTCCATTGGTAACTATAAGTCGTGTATATTGACTTACCCTTGCAAGTCAATTTTGCTGTTGCTGGGTCTCTGTCTTTCCTTCTGTTTAATTGACTGTCTTGCCTGATGGCTTCTTAATATTGAAAACTATAGCCTTCATTGTCTTTTAAAATATTTCCAGATTGTATTGCAGAGATGATTTTTTATTTGTGCATGGTGAAGGAAGTGTTATATTTATCCATCAAATTTTAAAGATGCTTTTGTAGGTTATATCAATCTTTTTTTTTTTGTGACCTGAAATACTTCTCTCCAAACTCTCCTCAACTTGAAGGTTTATACTAGATGTCTACTGTGATTCTCATGGCTTTCTATAATAAGGAATATTTTTCTCTAATAGCCTTTAATATTCTGTTCTTGTGTTGAATTTCTGGAATCTTGACTATTATGTGCTGGTTACACACAAAGGCCCACTTCTATCCCTCTCTGATAGAAGCTTTCTTTCTTCCCAGAAATATAGCTTGCTCCTAACCTCTGTTGTTTCTAACTCATTGTTTGGTTTTAGCTTTAGAGAACGTGAACTCATCCTGGACATCTTTCAGTTTAGGCATTCCATTCCTTTCTATCATGTGGAAGTCCCACTGAGCTCCTTGGATGGAGATGGCATCCTCCTGCCCTGGAGTGGACTATTTCTGAGAGATGCAGTGAGTAAGTAAAGACCAATTAGAGTTGGGGAAGGCTCAGCTAAACTATTTTTTATATTGGTGTGGAATGCTCCCACTCAAAGTCTTTTGCTCCTTTAGAGTACATCATTAAGCAGTGGAAGAATTTTACCCCTACAGAGTGAAACATAGCTATTCAATATCTTTCTCCATGTATGGGTGGCTTATATTCTTAGAAACAAACTAGAATGCAGAGGGAAGTAGCAAGTATGATTGATACTATTACACAACTGGAAAGGTACTTTAAAGAAGGAAACTGTTAAAAAAAAATCTAATGTTCAGATTTTGTTTGCATTGGGAAATAGTCCTTATCTAGTTTTTGAAATGTAGGTATGAGCCACAGGAGAAACAGGCACCTCAGAACCTTAAGAATTCACTATCCAGAAGCCTGAGGCTAGCTCTCCCCAACCTTCGGATACTATGGACAAGAACACCTTAAATACAGCCTGTCTCAGTTACTTTTCTCTCATTGCTGAGACAAAATACCTGCCATCCAAAATTAAGGAAGGAAAGAGTTATTCAGCTCACATTTTATGGAGGTCTCAGTCCACAATCAGCTGGTTCCAAGGCAGACTGGCACAAGGCAGAAGGCAGCAGTTCATGGTAGCAGAAAACAGCATAAAAGAGAAAAATGGACGAGTAGCAGCAACAATGTCAACAGAGAGTGCGTCTGTTTCCCTTGTGCTGAATTCAGCCTATCTGCCTTACACGTGGTGTAGAACTCACATCCGCAATCCCAGTAGCACTCACACCTGCTCCCTGCACTGGATTATGAATTAATCACAAACTGTAGACGTCCACCCCATAACTGCATAAGGCTTTGGAAAGACACTTCAACACAATCTGTAACATTTACCCCTGGATCCCAAAGTTTCATGCACATTCCTTTACACAAAAGGCATTTTAGTCCATTTCTAAGAATCTCCAAAGTCCTAACAGTGTCAGCATTGCTGAAAAGTTGAATCCCCATGTCTTCTCCAAGATCTAAGGCAAACTCTTACCTGTAAGCCTCAGTACAAATGAAAAGAAAATTAAAAACTTCCAACAGGCACTGCCACAAGGTATGCATTATCATTCCAAAAGGTACAAAGAAGGGGATACAAAGCACAGAGAATGGCTGTTGTCAAGATATCAACCAATACGTGCTGGAGGGGCTGTAGGGAAAAATGAACAGTTTTCCACTGTTTGTGGGAGTGCAGACTGGTGCACCCACTGTGGATATCAGTATTGAGATTCCTCAAAAAACTAGAACTAAAGGTTCCATTTATCTCAGCTATTACCCTTTGGGGTATCTTCCTAAAAGAATTGAAAACATCCTACTGCCGGTATATCTGCACACTCATGTTTACATCAGCACAGTTTACAACAGGTAAATCTTGGGAAAAAATCCAAAAAATGGACATGGATGTGTGGGTTTTTTTTTTTAACACAATGGAGTACTGCTGAGTCATAAAGAAGGGTAAGTTTGAATTGCTAAGTAAAAGGATGCATAATGATCTTGAGACCATATGCTTAAGTTGGATTATTTGGACACACATGTTCAAATATTGTATGGTTCTCTGATGTGCAAAATTTACAGTGGAATTATGGACCAAAATGTATACTACATGTGGTGAATTAGGAAGAAAGTGTTTAAATGAGAAGGAGAAGTAGAGAGAGGATGGGAAAAGTAAAAAGAGGAATAGGAGGAAAAACATGGAAGCAAAGATTCTGTAAATAAGGAGAAGAGATGTTGACAGAAGTAGGTGAAGAGGTAAAATGGATCAATGTCTATCATACACAGGTACAAATTCTAAACGATGAATATTATTATCATGTATATACAAAATTCATCAAGAAAATTCCTTTTAAGAAGAAACAGAATAATACCTGGCTGGGCAGAGCCACTGAGGCAGAGCATTTATCTGCAGAAAAGCTTGGGTTCAGGGTAAAGCAATGGGAAGTGGGGAGAGGACAAAGTAAATCATTCCTCAGAGTCACAAAAAAGCCCATACTACTCTCATAGGAATTAAATAGGACACCTATGCTCAAATATCACATTGTTTCTCTTGATGGAGAGTATGAAAGTGGAAATAACAAACAAAATATGCAACAGACACCGGGACATAAGAAGCAAGTCTTCAAATGGGAAGGGGTTCCACTATTTAGAAAGCAGAAAGAAGGATGGAAAAGAAAATAAGGAAAAGAAGAAAGAAATGCATAAAAAGGCTTTGCATATAAGATAAAAAGGAAGGATTCAAGGGAGAAGAGGGGTTGGGGCAAAAAATATATATATATATACAGGCACAAATTTCTTCTAATGAAT